TATTAAGTAAGGACTTGTGTCGCTAAAGTTTCGTCGGAACGAAGTTACGGAAAGTTAATTAACAAACGGAGACGTAACAATATGCTGTGTAAATACTTCTGTCATATGCTTACTACGTATATTCATAGAAGTTTTGGAATAAATCCTGGACTTATCTGTCATTCACTGCTGTACTTTTGCTATTCTGCAGCTGTTTATCGTTGCTTAGTCGCGATAAACTTGGTTTAAAAAAAGAGGGAAAAAAACAGGATCAGTTTTGCTTTCACTTCTACAAGAAGTTTCCTTCCTTATCAGCTTATAAAAGTCAAAGCAGTGAATGTCGGAGAAGCTAAATATTTATATCAAACACTTTTTGAATACTGGATGACTGTAAAGTATTCGCTGCATGTAAGTATATTAAGATAAATAAATTACATAACTGAGAGCAGTAGGCTTAAAATTTCATGCAAGTGAAAAATAGCCTGTTTTCGCAACTTTGAAACTATTCGACAAAACTACGACACAATAACAAAATTACAAAAACATCCTGCGTAGGGAATAGACATTGTTTCCGCAGTGAAAAGTTAAAGCACACTTTGACTTTTGCTATCGTAATTTTGTTTGCTATTTTTAAAACAAATTTGGTGATTTATCAATTTATCACACAAGTATTACAATAAATTAAGTTGCAACAGTAAACTATAATTTTGGATTATTTTTAAACTCTTTTTAAATAAAGAAATTATTAAATACTACAAATAGAATGTTAAACGTTATGTTTTATGATATTTCACTTGTATAAAAAAAAACAATAAAAAAAAACGTTAATACATCGAAAACACACTAGGATTAAGTTCTAGTTTTCGCTACTTGTTTGAATTGATCTAGTATCGGAGTTTAAATTAAAGCTAGAAATTCGAACTTAATAAAACCGCGAATATTTGTTGCTTTCTATTGAATGATACCGATAGTTTGTGGTGTTTCAATCACAAACTGTAAAAGTAAAACGATTTCTAGTAGTTTTGCATTTATTTTAAACATGGGTACGTATTTAAAGTTAATTGTAAGTTGTAACTTAGTATCTAGTATACAAGTTCTATTAGTATCAGTCTGTAGACAAATTTAGATTATTAATATTATATTGATGTTGGTATCCGTGTAGGCTTAACTTCATTAGTCTATAGCAAAGTTTAGCCTTTAGGTGATATAGCTGTACGACATTGCTAATACTACTACTGGTACTCCCTTGGGTTGCGTCAGGCTTAAATACTAACGTTACGTCATTAGTAAGATCTAATCTTGAAGTTGGAAACAGAAAACAGAAATAAATAACTTCTAAATCATACCACAGAATATGGTAAATCTTGATAAATAGCTGTTTTATTCTGTCAGTGTAATATTATCTAGTGGTGGTAATGGTATTACTAATAGTAATTAGTATTGAAAACAAAATATTGAAAGTATTTGTTGTGATATTCTAAGTTCAACTTTCAAATAAATTTGATTTGGGAGTTTTCAGAAAGTTATAAAAATATAATAGACTTGTAAATTATACTTAGTGAAATATAAAGTAAGAAGTTATTAAATAAATCATTACTTAATCTGTGTGAAGGAAAAGTTACTTTTAGATAATACTAATATATATGTTGCAGCAATGTATGTTTTGCAAATAAAAATGACAGTGTTTCACATTTTAAAATATAAATTTCTTGAATAGATCTTATCAAACATTTGGAAGCTCTGAAACTTTTTGTTCAAGAGGACCCTAGTACCAGGGAGTCAAATGTAGATGAATGTCTTGATGTCATTATCCAAACAGTTACATCTAATTCTAAAGGTTTGTGGTAGTATCCAATTTTTCCTACTTTATTGTTGATTTATTGACTTCTAATCTAATTTGTTGAAAACAATATTTAGTGTACAAAATATTCAGTTAACATGCACTAATGCTGGGTGATTAGTGGAATTTGATAATGAATTAATTGTTGGACACATTAAACAATTACATTGATTGAGGTATTGTACAATTGTAAAGTGAATTGATTGAGGTATTGTACGATTGTAAAGTGAATTGATTGAGGTATTGTACGATTGTAAAGTGAATTGATTGAGGTATTGTACGATTGTAAAGTGAATTGATTGAGGTATTGTACGATTGTAAAGTGAATTGATTGAGGTATTGTACGATTGTAAAGTGAATTGATTGAATTATTGTACAATTGTAAAGTGAATTGATAGTGTTTATGCATCAACTTTATTCACACTTAACAGTGGGACTAGGGGACACAAATATAAATTTTGGCAGGGTAGGAGTCATCTTCAGCTAAGGCAGTTTTATTTTTCTGACAGAGTGGTTGGTCTCTGGAATGGGTTGCCTTCGGATGTTGTAGAAGCAGTAAATTTAAGAGGGTTTAAGAGAAAGCTTGATAACTATATGAATGATAAGGGCTGGCTGTAACTGTAAATTTTTTTTTTATTTAAAGTTTTAGTTTATTAGAGGATGGAACAGTCAAGATGGACCAACAGGTTCCTTGTTGTCCCAAAACATTATGTTATGTTATTCAGCTAATCAATTAACCTTAAATGAAACTGATAGTTGGAATAATCCCAAATAATAATTGGAAATAGTAACTTTGATTAATTGATTATTTTCATGAGTTGTCACACTAATCAATTAAGCTGAACAACTCTGAATTAATCAAAAATGATGAGAAATATTTTGATTGCCTGGATAGCTGTAATGATTTAAAAGGGTGATAATTATAAACATTAATTTCAATTAGCTGATTATATTTGTCATTAATCATTTTAATCATAATTTTGACAGATCAAATATTTTATGTGGCACTAAATGATGTAATCTATGCTCATATGTTGAGCTGGGTGATTAGTGGAATTTGCTATTTGATTAATTGAAGAGCTCATTAGTCAATTACATTCAACTAATTGATTATTGCATCATCAAAGCTAAATAAATCTAACAGTTGGACTCCAATACCTATGATGGGCGGAACAAGTTTGTTCTTTATGTTACTTTGTGCTTAACAACAAACATAATGGTAATTTGTAGATTACTTTTATCGTTGGAATAATTGTAATAACTGGAAAATATTAATTTTGATTATTTTCGTGAGTCATGACACTAACCTATTAAATAAAACAAACATGAATTAATCAAAATAATATGAAAAATCTTAATGGCAGTATTCCAATTACAGGAGACTTAGAATATTAAAAAACAGCAATAATCATGAAACCAGCTTCTATTAGCTGATTATTTTCATGACAGTCAATTTAATTGTAATTTTGATTAATTGATTGTTGGAATAATTGAAAATGCTAATTTCAATTAGTTGATTATTTTGATGACTTAATCATAATTTTGGATTAATTGATTATTTTACATGACACTGATCGATGTAATCACTGCTCATAGGTAATCAACTTAATTGCTTAGTTCAACTCCGTAATTGAATTGATGGCCCATCTATAACCTGTGCTATATTAAATAATTTGATGAAACTATCACTTCAGGCATTAATTATTGTACTTAATTATAACTAAGAAAAGTAATTTTTATAGGTATGAATTTAACTAAAGTGTTTACTATAAACTGCATATTCTGTGTGAAGACATAGGTTAGATGTTGAGTATATTTAGGAGTGCAATTCTGCTGGTACTCACTGGTACTGAGTATATGAACTTATTTTTTAAGGCGGTACTAGTACTGGGACTTATTTGAGCTGCTTTGTCATTTTTTTTATGTACACACATAGATTTTCTTTTTTAAAAATGGGTCCATTTCATCCAGCTGAGTATCTCTTTTTTATTTTTTACTAAAGTCAAAGTACAGGTAGCTTAACAGATATAAGTGTATTTTTTTTCAAAATTTTTAAACTTTGGTAGTTTCATATAAGGAACTTGCATTGATACTTTGTAAAAAATTTTTAGCTGAAAATTTCTTCAGTTTATCTTTGCTTATAAATCAATACTCAAAGTTTTGCAGACAAACCTTGAATAGACCTAGGCAGAGCACTAGTATTAAGTCTTATTATTGTACATATTACATTTATTTATGAGGTTTGTTTCATTTGCTATATTTTTCAAATACTTTTAAATATCCTTGACTGAAGATTTGAACACTTTGTATTTTTCACAGAATCCAGTTCAAGGGCCTTTGTTGAGAAACTTCTTTATGAAGGACTGGCTGAGTTAGTGATTGATCTTTTAAAACCACCTACAAAATTATCCTCAACTCAGACAACTAAGCTGATAGAACTCATTGCAGAAGTTGCAAAATGCGGTAGGTTGCAGTATACATATTTTATTGAATTTATTTCCTCTTTGAAATGTTCTTTCTTTAAACAATTTATACACATTTATTTAATTTCAAAATATTCCAGACAAAATTTTTAAGGACTACCAAAATGCTGTTATTCAAAAGCATTTGTTATGTTTACAAGGTTTTGAACCTGCCAAAAGTAACTGGACATCCCTTAAACATATTACATAGCCAACATAGCATGCTTTGCAAGGAAACATATTGAGAAGAATATTATTTATGATTTTAATATTGAGAAGAAGTTTAGAGACATGTTTGACAGATAGACTATTAGTGTTGATGTGTATACTACATTGGCTAAAATAGTGAATTATATGAATGTGGGAGCTAAAATAGTGAATTATATGAATGTGGGAGGGAAAAAATTTAAGTTATTGAGAGTATAGAAAAATTAACACATGAAATAATCACATTGTTTTGTCATTCTCCTGTGCATGAGACCATTCATTGGTATTGAGAATGTGATATTACAAAACCCAAAAACATTCAAATTTGTAGATATTGACATATTGTTTGATAAATATTTAATTGTCGGAATGGCGAAATAACCCCAAAAATATTTTTGGCACTAAACTTACTGCAACTTTTCTGCATCCAAATATGTCAGCAGACACATTTGTGAGGACTGTGCAGCATACTTTTTATAAATGTGGGCACTTTGAAAGAGTTGTGACATGCAAACTCTCCAATTACCTTCAAAAATTCATGGCATCACTTAGATTGATGTAAAGGTTATCAGTGCTGGAATCTCAATTATTGGTCACAGGTTTTGTGGAATTGTGATAGCTACAGGGTGACTTCAAAGAAAACTAATTAATTAAAATTATTATGTTTTAAAAACTACTTGTCTTTGAAAACAGAACTTAACTGAAGGTGCAATGAGAATTATTAATTTTATTCAGGAAAGTAGGACATAGTACAGTGTGTTTCAAAACCATATAATTCTGAAAACCAAAATAATTTTTATTGCAAACTAGTTTTATATACATCTCTCAACAAGACAGTGCAACCCTTCATATCTGTGATCTCATTAAAAGGTTTCAAAAAGACTTCTTTACTGTAGATGGAATTTTAAGCTTTCATTTAGGCAGAAATAGCTTATAAGATTCCTGGACAGGATCTGTTCAATACCAGATCTTTTTTATTGTGTGACTTTCTGAAAGAGAATATTTATCAGAATAACTGAAAATGGCCATTAGAAATGATATTGCAAGGATTAATAAAAAGTGTTAGAACAGATTATGTCTGCAATAGCATCATTTAGGGATAGGCTTGATATGTTGATTGAGAATGATGCAAAGCGTATTGAACATTTCCTGTGACAATCTTTGAAATACACTCTGCCATTACCAAATCCTACTGAATAAAATCTTTGATTCTTAATATGCCTCGGGTGAAATTGAGATCCCTAGAATAAATATTTTTATGATATAATTATTTTAAGTAAGTATTTTTCTTTACATTCACCCTATACTTCACTCATCTTCAACAAAATATCTAGAAGTAGGCAGGTGAAAAATTCTCCATGATTTTTCAATGCCATTTCTTAATAATTGTGGTTGAGGTACTCTGGCATGAACTGTTATTTGTCCATTGGGTGAGGATCTTAATTGTATAGTGTCTGCACATCTAAATTCCCATGGATATTAAGAGATCCTAGGAGCCATAGTAGAAGTTTTATCAGCATGCTTATGTGATGTTTGAGTAGGATAATGGTTTCTTCCACAAAGTACATACAACCCATATATGGTATAAAAGTAAAACATGTATGTCATAATGTGGCCATACCGGTATTTAGAGAATAAACACTGTACAACAAATTTTGGGACCATCTGGAGGGATTAATTTGAAAATTATGTCCGAACTTTTCATTCATATTCAGGTGGCTAAGCTTTTTAAACAACAGTGAAGGCAAATTGCACTAGACATCTCTTAGAATGTAACTGAAAGCATGTTCCTCAGAATATCAGCATTTATTCAGCCAAAGGTAGTGTCACACTGCTTCTAAACAGTGGTCACAGGAAACATTCTGTTACTACATGCTCAAATATTTATAGTAGTACAGTATACATTTTTCATTTATAAATTCTGGTTGCAAATATTACACAAAAGGTACTTGACAATCATATTTCTGGTTTTTCAGTATTTGGAAGTAATACCTGTCTACTAGTGTATAGTTATATACAGCACTATCTGATACTTCAGAGCGTGAGTGATTTACCACCTATGTTTGGGTGACCTCTGGCAGTGACACACATGTTCTGTCGAGTTTTTGTATTTAAAATGTCTCTTCAAATATTGTGTATTCTGAATCCAGGTTATTGCTAAGTAATACAAATATTGATTAAACTAATATTTGTTAACTTTTAATTTAATAGTAAACCCTTATTATAATATGTATCACTAGTAAAGTATTCGAAAAAAGCTGAGGTGAAATATTGCAGCATAGCACATTTGATCAGAAAACTATACATTGATAATGAAATAGTATATGAAGTAAATTATTTGTGATGCATTTATGCATATGAAATTCCATTGGCTTTGTGGATAGGTTTATATTTTTGTGACTTAAAATTCAAACTTGACCACAACTTTACATTTTTTTTTATCATAAAATAATCAGTGATCAGTTTACATTTAATGTACTGGTTATGAGAACCAAGCAGTGAATCTGTTGTAGCCAAAATACACCTAGATTTTCTGTTTCTCACATTTTATAAGCAGTTGTACTGAATTATTCTTTCCAAGTCAATGCAAATACAATTTTTATTATTACAATATTAATATCATTGTCATACTTTCTTGTGTTTTATTTTATTTCTTATATTTTAACAGAAAGAAAAAAAACATTATTTCTCAATGACTTTAGAAGAGTAATTGCAAAATATAACGCAGTGGAATGTCTTTTCAATTAAGAGCTTTGTATTTTACATCAAATTTGAATATCTTAAATTAATAGATTATCAATAATTTCACTTTAAGTGTCTACTGTTTGAAAAGTGACATAATGAAGATTGATTATAGCAGACAAGAAATGTGGTGATTTAATAATTTCAGCTGGCCTATTTTTTCTTGGCTCTAATTTGCAAATTTATAAACAAGTAATCTGATGGAGGTGTATACTGTCTGATTACTCGTGTCATTTCAAGTTTACCCTTTTTTTTTCAGAACATGCCAGAAAATCACTTTCTGATCCAACCGTTGTTTCTACCTTATTAGAGTTACTGTCTAGCAAAGACAACCAAGTTGTTCTACAGTCTTGTCGGGCACTAGGAAACATTTGCTTTGACAATGGTATTTTCATTGTCTTATTATTTTTTTAATTAATTAGCTTTACACACTTTTATACATCATTAAATACAAACATTTCTAAACATCTTTCTGTACAATTATCAAATGTCCTTGTATCATTTTATATATTTAAGAACTGAAAAATAAAAAATAAACTAGTTTTCCTCTAAACTTTAAAGTGAAACTGTAATATTTTTAAAAAATTTTGTAGTTCTTAGAACTAAACCTTTTCTTTAAACACTGCTGTTTCCTTTCTCTGAAAGAACAAAATATTAAATCAAGTAACTATAGTTTGCATGGTGCTTCTATTATGTTCATGAGATGACTTATTACTTTTTAAAATCTATACTAACATCCTCCATAACCCTAACCCACAAACTTGCTCACATTTATTATCTGTTGGAACTAAAAATGATCATTCAAACACTGTAATCAACATCTGTTTACAAGCAACACAGTTATCTAGATCCTTCATGGATGTTGGGTTTTCTTTTGGAACTGAAACCACTAGGAAAACAGATATCAGATAAAAATATTATCTGGTTTTGTAAATATGATTTGGTATGTCTGTTTTAAGTCTATATAGTATCTTTAATATATGCATGATCAGTACTTCTTTAGTGTGACAACAATTACAAGTTTGTCTTTCAGCATTGAAAAACTTCTACCTTTTAGATAATTTGCCTTGTAGGTTTTTTTTCCTTCTAACTTAAAGAATTGTTTATTGTTAAGCAGAATGCTACACATTGGGCTATTTGTTCTGTGCTCACTATAGGGATCAAACCTCATATTTTAGTATTATTAGCCATTAAACTTACTGGGGAGCCACTTGAGGTTACTTACTCAGAAATGTAAAATATAAGATTTATATTCCAGTAAAATGCATTGTATTTTCACAAAATATCTAAATTAGGGCAAATGTGAGACTTTTCAATGATCTTTTTATAAAAGAAGGTTTTTATCTGTTATGCTTAAAATTATTGACTAAACTCACAAAAGTGTGATATTGATAAAAATTAGTATAGGTTTCTTAAAAACAACTTTAAAATGATTCAAAAGGATTAATTTTATTGGTTAATTATATTTTAATGAAATTCTAAATTTTTCAATGCAAAGAAAATTATATTGGTACGTGTTTTAATTACCATTTGACATTTATTCAAGCCTAGTAGAGCCCATTGAACTCGTTTCCAAAGCTCTCCCATTAACTTAAACAAAACTGTACTGATACATTAGTTTCGTAACAAAATTAGAGGGCTGTTATTTTGATTATAGTTTAGACCATAGACTTCGAAGTTGAGGCCACATCACTTAGAATGAAGTTCCAGTTTACTAAGCTGAATGTGTAACATTTAGTATGGAAAGTAGTTTTATAAAATAACACAGTACCAGTGTGTGTTTGTGAATAATCACGAAGAACACTATTTTACTTTCTATGCTCTTATCTAAATGTTCAGTTGCAGTTCCTGAACAAATTGATATAACATTTATGAGCTAGGCTTCTGTCTATCAGCCTTTACTCATGTAGTTGTAACACAGTTGCATTTTTTCATATTTTATTTGGAGTTCATATAGACTAGTTTGTGTAAATAGATTTCTCAATTTATTTTTTATTACTTTTAATATTTTTTATTATTGTGTTCATGCACTGCATTTTGTGTAGTTAGTTGTAATCAGAACTTACTATGTACTCTAATATATTTGAATATAGTATATAACCACTTTGATTTTTTTGTTCTATAGAAATGAAAAATTTATATTTTCATCAAAAATGTATCTTTAAACTTGTCTTAAATTCAGTGTTTTTTTTTTTACAGTCCAGTATTATATACTGATATTTCTAATATTGTTATATTTTAACACTCCTGTCAGATCTGGCTAGAGGTATTGTGAAAGATCATAAGGGCGTGGAGAAACTAGTCCATCTGTTAAAAAGTCTCTTAGAGATGAAAGAGATGCCACACAACTTGCGAGCTACTGCTTCAGGATGTTTGCTAAACATGACTGAGACTTGTGGTAGGTCTAATACAATATATGCTTCTAACTTGGGCCCGGCATGGCCAGGTGGTTAGGGAGCTCGGCTCGCAATCTGCGGGTCGCGGGTCCGAATCCCCATCTCACCAGACATGCTCAGCCATGGGGGCGTTATAATTTGACGGTCAATCCAACTATTTGTTGATAAAAAAGTAGCGCAAGAGTTGCCGGTGGGTGGTGATGACTAGCTGCCTTCCCTCTAATCTTACACTGCTAAATTAGGGATGGCTAGTGCAGATAGACCTCATGTAGCTTTGCACAAAATTCGAAACAAACAAACAATCTTCTAACTTGAAAGCTTACACAGTAACTTTTAAAATCAATCATCATGATGAAATTTTTTTGTAATGAAAATGCTTGTAGATTACTCTGTGTAGTAAGTTTTAAATTGTGCATCCTTCAAATGCAAAAATTTCTATGGGGTAAACTATATTTAGTTATGGTGGTTATACAAATTAAAGTATTTTGTGCTTAACTCATTTTGCATATTTTAAATGTTTTTTTTTTCTTTTTTACTGATATGAGATATGATCATTTTTCTTTTCATAAATGTTTGAATACAGAAGAAATCAACGAAGTGTGGAAAACTGAGCTACAAGTCTTTGTAGTTTACTTGCTTATTTTGCCCGGGCAGTCATTGTAAAATCCTTGTGAGATATTTTCAAAGTAAATAAAAATGGACTTGAATGTATTATTGCTACAGATAATTAATATTTGGAGACAGAAAAGTATGGGAATATTATCTAAAGAAATCAGGAAAATCAAACATGTTTGGTAAGACATTACTAACTAGTCCATTAATTTCAGAGAAATAGTTCTCAATGGTTTCTCACAACTAAGCATGCCTTAAACATGATGTGAGAGCAGGATGTTGAAAATATAGTTTTATATACCGTAAAAAAGGTTTTATGATTTTAGAAACGTGAGGAGATCCTAATTTGCTAAATTAGTTAAAGCAAAATGAAATGCAAAAAAAGTTAGGACTTCTTTATTTGTAGGCCAGCAAAGACAATTCACAAATCAATTGGATTAGAATTACAGAGAGTTGAGTACATTATAGTGAAGCAATTTTGAATATGCAAATCAGCAAGTTATGTGACAGTCACACTTATGCTGCGGCATGGCATATATATGCGCACTTCATTTTGATGTTATTTGGTATTTCATAGTTAATATGATGCCACTGAAAAGTTATTACTTTTGAGAATGATATGTAACAGTTCTTTCCAAAGAAAAAATTCCTACATTCATCATAAAGATGTGTTCAGTTTGGGGATTTAGAATTTCCAAGGGAAGGATATTCCTTTTACTTAATGATATTGGAAAACAATGGAATATGGATCATCTCAGGGTTTAAGGACCAACTACAAAGAGATTTACAAGTTGTACCCCAGGCATGGTAAGAAAAATGTGACATCTTGTAAAAAGTGAAAATCTGTGAACACACATGTCGGTCAGAAAAGTGGTTGAAATCACTTGTACACAAGCTGCTTCATGCCATATCTGGTCAACAGTCACATACCTCAAGCAGCTGGAGAATGAAATGGATTTTTCTTAGGTTGTGAGACACAGCACTTACAGATTTCTATGGTATTGGACTGTTAAAAATGGTGCTGGAAACTGTCATCTTCATGCATTAGATGAATTATTGAAAGAATGCAGGAATGGGTGGGGTGATTTGTAAATGACAGCCTTACAATTGAAATTATGCTGCAGGGATATTGTCAAGATGTGTGATCATCAGATGGAGCATGACTGGGTGTGGTGATATTGATTGTAACTGTGATGAGGCTCCAAAATCATTTTAATATAACTTTCTGAACTTCTATTTATGGTAAAGAAAAATAAATCCTTCAACAGTGAATAAATGTTTTATTGAGTAGATATCAATTAAAAATTGGAACATAAACCTTTAGCAAGCTGACTCATTGGTGAAAGAATATGATTATATTGATAGTTAGAAATAATTATTCTCTATGTTATGTATTTATAAAGCACCTGTTAACACTCGTATTGGAAAAGTAATATTTATTATACTTCTGAAGTTACTACATGTATCATCAGGAAATTTGGAAATCTTTTAGTAAATGTCAAAAGTCCATTGTACACAAAAAATCATATTTTTTAATACAGTACTTTTTACTTCAGATTTGTCTCTGAATTTATGAAGTCAGTCTGACTCAGACTTTGAACTAGTCTGAGTGCAAGATTATTTTCATGATAAGAATAAAAATATATAACCTCTAGAACCTCCTAAATGAATATCAAAAGTTTTTTTTTTGGTAAAACTTCATAATTTTTCTCTTATTTCTCTACTCTATTGAACAGATGTTAACAATAAGTCACCTGGTCAGCTCATAGCTCAAGTTATGGTAAACAAAGTACTAAATTACGTAATGCACGAGTAGCTTGCATGCATACATCATCGATACATTTTATTTAGTTTTTATTCGTTTTTGAGTTTTATTATCTAACTTAATACATTTTTAATTTTTACGTTTTAGCTACTTTTGTTAAAAAATATTTATCATTAAAGAAATATACATAAAAACAAGACATTAACTACTGACCATTGCTTATAAGCCTGTCTGGACTTGAGAATGTACTTTTAGCATACTTTGCTAAGACTACTTTTTCTACTTTACATTAGTTGTCCAAAAAATAATTCATGTAGCTTTAAAATATGCATTTTAGAATACAAACAGTAAGTCAAACAATAAAACAGAATGTCCCAAACTACTATAATTTACTTGGCTTTTTAACTAACTTGTAAATAGATTATAAAAATTTCATTACTTACTGAAGTACTGACTTCAGTCTACACTCAATAAGATATAACTTGTGAAATGGCACCTCCTACACAAATACATTAACATGAACTTATTATAATCATATGGTTCACAAAATGGCCTTTCTGTTGGCTATACTCATGTAAGCATGAGTAAATAAGTAATTTCAAAAGCATGAGGAGTTTCTGTGGTGGGTGTAACATATTTATTGATATCTCAGAAAATAAAATAAAAAGTTAGAGTTTTGTATTGTAAATTCTGGCCTGTCAATATCTGTAGTTGGTGTTTCTAATTATGGAAATCTGAAACCCATATTAGGAAAGAAAGAAACTATAAAAGGAGAATTCAGAGCAGAGAGACATTATGTGACACAGAGAAGTGAAGATAGAGAATTTAATATATATTTAAATATTTCCTTTTTAAATTAAGAAATTAAAATTTGAATTATAAACTATGTTTTGATACCAAGTTAATTGATATACATTGATAATAAAGTTGTTTAATTAAAGTTTGAAGGTAAATCTGTAAAAAGTTCTGACCTGCACAATTTGACTCCCACCCGTGCACATAGAGTTAATGCTCTTTGCTCTTATTTCTAGCCATTAATAATGCCTGAAAATTAGAATTCACCATCATCTTATTTCTAGCACTATTGGCTATTCCCACCAGAAGTGAGAATGTTAGCTTAATCTCATATTAAAACTTTTTATCTTTTAGTCTGTGGATCGTTTCATTTAATAAATTTTATATTGTCACTAAAACCAGCTACTAGTTTAGTTATTTGAAGTGAGGTGTAACCTTTATAAGATGCATTTTATACTGTTTTTTATTCTGTAGTACCTTATATTAATGGTGCTTTATATGAATTAGATTGTAAATATCATATGTGTGCTTGTTGATTCCAGATGAAACTCAAGAACAGGCTTTAAAAGCTGGAATTACAGATGTCTTGTTGCAGTACCTTTCCAGATATCACAGTGATGAAGACCTTGCCAGCCACTGTCTTCTTGTCCTCAACTGTCTAGCTGATTATGGTTGGTTGTGTACTGGGTATTTTGAGTGAGGTTGTAAAATTAAGTTATTAGGAGTGTTTATTTTTTGTTTATGAAGGTTACATTACTAATAATTTCAATGCAGCTGAATACTTTTGTTAAATTTAGAAGATAGGAAAAAAAACTGTTAGGGAGTTTTTTTCATGGTGCTGTCTTAAATAGATTTCCTTAGTTAGAAGCTGTGTTAAGCACATGCAGCTGATGGAAACTGAAAACATTTTAATTCTTGTAATTGCTACGTACATTTTTAGCAAAATATTTCCTAAATAACATTTTTCTAATGTTATTTTTTGTTAGTTTTAAGGTAAAGTATTTTACTCTTACAACCTATTTAAAACAAATATGAATAAATTATTTTCTTTTTAGTTTCATACATTGATAATAATTTCCATCTATATTTTTACTTCTTTCACATAAGAAGGAAGTGTGAAGTTTAATATATACTTGCATTTCCCAAAAACAAGAACACGTATTACAGTGATTCCAGTTAATTTGACATTAATAAAGGGCTCATTAAGATGTGGCCCGGCATGGCCAGGTGGTTTAGGCGCTCGACTCGCAATCTGAGGGTCTCAGGTTCGATTTCCCGTCACACCAAACATGCTGGCTCTTTCAGCCATGGGGGCATTATAATTTGATGGTCAATCCCACTATTCATTGGTAAAAAGTAAGACTAGAGGGAAGGCAGCTAGTCATCACCACCCACCGCCACCTCTTGGGCTACTACTGCAAAATTAGGGATGGCTAGTGCAGATAGCCCTCGTGTAGCTTTGCGCGAAATTCAAAACAAACAAACAAACAATCATTAAGATGTGAAAAAAAGCTCAAACATAAAGTGTATAGTATTGCTAACTATAGTGATTAAACTTGCAACATGATATTAAAATGCTTGAATAAATATATATGTTTCTTTACCATCATGAGGAAATTTATAGTCACTGTAAATGTGGAAAGAGATTTATTACTTGTGTTTTATTGGTACAAGAGTAAAGAATATGGTAAAAATAATTTTGTTTGTCTTTGGCTTATATGATTAAATGCAGTTTAAAATAATTGTACTGTATGTGAACTACATAGTTGTTGGATTATTCTTACATTCATTCAAAATTTCAAATAAAATTTTCTTAATATTATTATTGTAACTAAGCACTATTATAGTTGTGAAAATCTCTTAAGAGTCCTTTACTATTTATCAATAATGAAGATGTGTTCATTTATTTGGTGTAAATTTTGGTTATACACTTATCTTTTTTTAGGCTTACTTAGCATTTAGGCTTTCTTTACCTAGTGAGAGTATGTCTACCACATCTAAAAACATATAAGGTTCAGTTGCACAACCTGACAGTTCAAAACTACTGTTCTTAACTAATCATATTTTGTGATTTGTTATTGAGTATGAGGGGCTAGTTAAACATGATGTAAGATATCACATATTTTGTAATACTCTTCCTGATTAAGCATTTCCCCTCACTTTCTGGTGAAACTTACAGTTGCAGTGCTTGTTCAGAAATGATTTTTGTAAAATGATTGAAGAATGTTTTGCATTGTTCTTAACTCCTTAAATTTTTTTTTTCTTTTTTGACATAAGATCAAATTTGTTTTTTGCCATATGGGTAATAATGAACTTTATTTCAAAAGATTTTTTACCAATTTGAAAGTTAGAAATACAAACGAACAAACATTAAAGTATAACCATTTCTGCCAATAATATGAATTCTAACACTTTTATGATTTTTTTTAAACCTGTTGTTACAAAACTGTTATTATTATCATTAAACATGCCCCCCCCCCAGTGGCATAGTGGTATGTCTGTGGACTTACAATGCTAGAAACCAGGTTTTGATACCTGTGGTGGGCAGAGCACAGATAGCCCATTGTGTAGCTTTGTGCTTAATTACAAACAAACAAAAGTATGAAACACTTATTCCGTAACAGTTTGTTGTAGTGACAGATGGCAGCATATACTTCTCTCTTTTTTTGGCTTAAGGGCTATAGGGCAAAATTATAGGCCAAAAACTAGCCAAACTTTTTTGAGATAAAAATAATACCCAGGTGCACACACTCAGAATTTCCTTAGTATGTAGAAATAATGAAACTCACTGAGTGGCCGATGTTGCCTCGTGGGGAATATTTACCCAAAATCTACATTAAATGGGAGGGGTGTGCAAAATGTGTTAAGCCCATCCACCCCTGTTCAATGCTTGCTGTTGAGATGGAGTTTTCTTGCAAGACCATTTCAACAGTGTATGTATGTGTTATATCTTTTTGTCTGGGCTGTTCTGCCCTAGAACAAAAAAAAAAAAAAGCACCAGGTATGTGCCTGCCCCTGCACTTGGCTTATGCCTGTTATCTTTAGTCAGTCTCTTATTGTGGGACCTAATTCCAGATGATTGTATCTAATTACAATGGTCTACACACTTGTATGTCTGTCTGGTATTCTCCCATATGCAAATTTTCCCTCCATTTCTTCTGGTGGACTATAGAAGAACCCTTACTTCCCCATTCCCAAGCTGCTAGGGAGGACTATGTCAATATGGAGAGCTCCTTATTGGACAGTGCAATGCCACTAGTACAAGAATGAGTGAATACACCCCTTGTTTGGGAAGAAGGGCTGGGTTGTTACCTGGTAGTGGAATACAGAACATTCCACTACATTATGAACCAAACCATTTCCCGTGGTTACGTCCAGTTTGATGGATTTGCCTTGGTACACATTGATTTTTAGAGAGAGTATCTAATGCGAGTATTTTTCCAATATTGAATGACCTTACTTATAGCCCTAGACCCATGATCTGCTGTCTGCCTGTGAGATAATGAATGGATGAGAAATCTGCCATTCTTCCCACCTTAGCACCCAGAAAAAAAGAGTCTTATGACTATATCTTTTGCTCTTCCATCTCTGTTGGGCAGAGTATTCCCTGTTTGAGATGAATGTGTTGTCCCACTAAGCTAACTCTTACCTCATGGATGTCACACTCCATGGGCTTTCTTTTTCTGATGCTCTTTTCATGAAGGAAGTCATCTTTGTAATTTCTCTGAACTAGCCCTTCCACCATCTTCAGTGTGGGATTCTTTGTCTTTATGGTGCAGAAGTAAGTAGCATTTCTGAACTTAAATTTGTCCTTACCAGAAAATTTATTTAAGATAGATACTCACCTCTATATCCCACTTCCAACCCTTCCTCCACATATCTAGTGCATTTAGTTTGCCTTGTCAAGAATGTGCCTGTGTTCAGATGCTAGTGCTCCTGGGGATTATGCTGCACATGGAGGATGTGTCGCCACCTATTGGTGAAGGGCCATACTCTAATGATGATTGCATCATAGGCTGTCACATGTTACAAGTGTAGGGGTGGAAACTTTCTTAAAAGCTGGTGACTTGCATAAGAAATTACATGGTAATGCATCTCTTTGTGGTGCAGAAAGGTGAGTATCTGAGATACATTTTTGGTACGGAAAAGTTGATATATGGGTACTTAATGTACTTATTGCTTCTACTACATTAGACTTTCTTTAGATCTATGCTCATAATAACAACAGTGTAATTGACTGTATCATTTTATGAAGTATCATGAAAGGTGTATTTTTGATGAACTCACAATTACTATTTTATATAATACAGACCTGCAATGGTTTTATTGTCTTGAAATTTGTACATGTTCTACAGTAATTCTGTAAGCTGAATTCGAAAATGATATCCATTTTTCTCCATCACTTACAAATTTTTCACAAAACGTCACAATGCAATACACGTAGTTTGAGACTAAAAGACGTAGATTTCACACACGTGCGAAAAAAAATCGGGATGAATGAGGATGCATATTCGTTTGACATCAACATTCTTCCCTTTTCGTTAGTTTGTTTGTATTTTTGTTAATAAACATAATAGTAAAAGATGTTCATTGTGGTAAACGAAATAATAATTTGATCTAAGTAACAGTTTTTTTCTTCCCAATTTGTAAAAAATCCTTACGTGATAGAAAAAAAAATTAATGTTATTCTCAAAATCTGTGCAGCTGAATTATAGAAATTTCATTATTAAAACTAAAACAACTTTTTGAAGTTTAAATTTGCAGGTCTTTTGTAAATTATTACTTAAGGTAGTGGGTAGCATTAATTGTGAATGTTTTTGCCAGGCATGTATTTATTACAGTTTCACAAGTGGTAAGGAGACTAGACAAAATCTACTGTATTGCAACACCATAAAGTTTTTAACATCACAGTTAACTTTTGTCTTAAAAATAACTATTTTTAAGGAGTACCAGATGTTTATTAAACCCATCTAGTTCCAGAAGTTCCTTTCTGGTTCTTCAAAAACAAATGTAAAGAATATTTTGGTTTTGAACAGATACTGGCAGGGAAATACTGGTTGAAAAGACTTCATTATCGTACTTGCTTGAAATTTTGGATAAGAATTTAACATCAGAAGTCTTGGAAACACTATTAGAACTTTTCGGCAACTTACTTGAAAATGGTATGTTAATCAGTTACTTGCTACTGTTTTGTGTACAGAACTGTTGTTATAAGTACTTGATTCTTAAAACTTTAAATCCAAACCTTAGTCAATGTCCTGAAAATGGCATTTGTATTACAAACTCTAATATTGGTTCCTATTGTTGTGCATGCTGTTTCAGTTTGTTTGGTAAAAAGAAAAATGAAAATTTCCATTCACTTAATAATAACAGAAACATTTTGTTTCTTTGACTACAAGATCTACAATTTGTACAAGTTCCAGTTTTACGTAACTAATGATAGGTCTAGCTTAACAAGTAAACAACATATGAACAGAAATTACAGTTTCTTGTTTCATCTCTGTAGCATTTCATCAAAGACACAATCTCTGTATTTCATTGCACTGAACTATCACTTACTGACAGCAACAGAAAAACTAACTACTTCATGCACTGATTACTTGATACTAACTAACAGACTGACTGACTCATTAACTTGCTCTTTATATCTGACTAAAACTGTTCTAAGACTAGGGTAAATTCCAGATATTAAACTACGCACTTATCACGTAAAGTCAAACTCCCATCTAGCTGAACAATGATACAAATGTTTAAATTACAAACATAGCCTCAAACACTGCCACCTCCCCATCAGTAAATCATTAATTGAATGTGTGAAACAAAGTATAATCAAAATTTTGATTAACAAAAATATCCAATCTTTCTTTACTTACCAACTCTTTTTGGTGGATTTCTTTTCTGTAAATCCAAAGGTTATCATGCTAGTTGACCTTTAGTTCAGATAACTTGCATTTCTGGATTCTTCTCTGTTGCATTTTAGTTTTATTGTTTCTATTATTTCGTAATTTCATTCATGTTATTACTGTAAGTTCAGACTCTTTGTGTTGTAGTTGTCATTTAACACAGACATTTCTTGATCATAAAATGTGAAAGATTTTGAAGCAAGTTTAACCTCACACACCTACATTTCTGCATAAAGTCTACTTGCAGTATGTATACCTCCTTTTTGCTAGTTACCCACAGAGAAATTTCTCGCAGTGAGAGTAGCTTTAAACATTTCTTTTACTGGAAATATATGCCAGTGTGCTGTTTGCATCATTTCATATTTATACTTCATCTCTTGAGGCAGTTTCCTACCTTTTATTACCTGATCAGATCAAATAATGTTGTCTCTAAAATAAATGTCAAAAACATGTTGTGAGGCTTCCCATAAAAAATCTGTTGACTTGTAGGCTGTTTGAGTATTTTTAGCTTCATGGTGTTATCTCCTTGGTTTATTATCTAGTTGATTCATCACACTCTTGGATGTAGTGTCCATATTTTCCATACTTAAACCAGTTTCTTTTTGCTGTAATCCTTTGGGAATTGTTTTTATTTCCTAAAGACTTTTGTCTGTAGTTTATGACAATATGCCCTTTTAAGTTGCAATTGAAACACTTTTTGTCATGTGGTTTACTTCGTTTATTCCAAGTAAATATTTGTCTAATTTATTATTTGAGCTCTTGTGGACCTGATAATCATGTAACTCTTTAATGGGGGTCATTAGTTGGTTCTGCAACTCTGTGTGGTTCAAGTCCTATTGTTAACTACACATCTTTATTTAAATATGTTCACCTTCTTTGCTTTAGCCTAACTTGCATATACTCCTGCACTATGGTATATATGAATAGGTTGCATGGTAGTAAATCCATCATTTCATATGGAGTATCTAGATAGGATAATTTGGCAAATCTTTCTAAATCTTTAGTAATTTTAGCTAAGATTTTGTCCTTCCTTTTTACTCTGTCCATAAATTTTGACTTAGAAGGAAATTTCCATGTGATGTGGCATACTGATTCTGTTTGATTAGGCAGCCATTAATGTTTGGTAGTTTTGTGGCTTTCTGTAATGTTTTTGAAGCTGATCCTTATAAATGTTCAGAAGATGGCTAGCTTGTTGTTCACTACTCTACCCATTCATCTTGTAAGTTATTTCAAATTGTGCCTGATATGTTTCCCAGGATGCCTTTCCATCGTAATATGTTGGTTTCTTGATTGGATGATATTTTTGATCTAGGCTACTAAGTTCCATAACTTGATGAAATAGTGAAAAAGAAGTTCAAGAGAGTCCTGCAGCCATAAATGGCACAAAAGTAGATGTAACAGGTATAGACCAGATTCCAATTCCATAATGCATAGTTCATGTGTTTGAGATTGGAATTCTTGAGTGAAAGCAGAGAGAAGTATGGCTGGTTTGGTTCTTACATTTACCAGTTTCTAAATGTTCTATCCTTGAGTTGACATACTTTAATACATTTCCTGACATTGGTGTCATGATGTGTGTCAAATTTCATTTGATGTTTTTTCAAAACTAAATGTTTTTTTAGTTTTACACAGTTAATATTTTAAACTTGCATAACAAGATGAATGAACGTATTAGCTCGAAACTTTGCTCAAAATGTTGAAACTGTGGAAAGACAATCAAGAGGAAAGAAACAGAAAATTAATAGAGAGAAATAGACAGTAGGTTAAGGGAGGAATAACAAGAACAAGACATGGAACTTATAGAAGAATTATGAGAAAAAAATCTACTTGTTCAAAGACAAAACCAAGGAAGTCATAGAAAATGCACAAAAGGACTATAACAAAATCAAAGACAAAGGGTCATCAACAAAATAAAAAACAGGAAGTACAAAAGAACATGAATGAAGTACAGAAGGGGTGTTATTCGCTCTGCATCGGAGGTGGCAGGACTTAATAGCTGAATCATAATTTGAGTATCCAGTGTGTTTTAGAGGCAGATCCAGTTGTTCAGATCATGAGTTAAAATGATCTTTAAAGGGATTTTAGTAAATATATTTTTGAGCAAAATAAGACAAAAAAGTTATATGTGATTGAGAAAAGGCATGGTAAGTGAATATAACATCAATTTTAAATTATTTGTATAAGTATAATTTATTAAAATAAGTGATAAATCATAGTTAAGATGCATTAATACACTACAAGAAAGTAATCAAACAAATTCCTAGATGTTCTCAGTAGTTATATTTATGCACATTCAACTTTCGAGATTAAATAAACATTTTTTTCTAATGAATATCATTAATCTTAATGATGAGTATTTTTGGCTACATTTGAACCTAAAAACTGTACAAAAAAGAACAGCTCTCTTGAAAATGTCCATGTAAGTTACATTTGTACATTGAATTGTCTGCCTTGCATGGAAATACTGTAAAAGATTCTTGTTTATATGTGTAACTTGGAAGAATTTATGAGAGTTTGCTGTGGAGTTTTTATAATATAGTAATTGGTATATTTGTTTTTAAACATAAACATTCTACCATATTTCCAGGACTTGTTACCAAAAAGTGATTGAATTCAAATTGACATTGTGTTAAATAGATATGCCAAATGATAAAATTGAATGTATGATCACATAAAATGATTTTATTTTCACTATGAAATGTAAGTTTGTTTTTCATTTGGTGTTTCCAATTTCATTTCATTTAGCTAAATAGCTTGAAAAGAAATTTAAAATGTAACAGTCATAACAGCTTGAAAGTACTGAAGTTATTTTACTTTTGATTGCTCTTAATGATCAGCTTGCATTTGTTTTATATACGAAAGATAACGTGAAACTGCAGTTGGCAGAATTAGGATTCTGTCAACAACTTCTAGCACTGATGAAGAAGTGCCAAGATGGAGTTTACAATGAAGAAAGTCATAATATTCTTAAGACCTTGTGTGATCTGATTGTCTTGATCTTAACAGGAGGTAAGATATGCTTGTTGTAACTTTAACAAAAAAACCAAAAATATATAAAATACACTAATTATCTATGCATATTAGACCTGAATTACAGTAAATTGTATTATTTGTACGTTTTTACGAAGTATGTATATCTAAACTGAAATGTTCCTGAATTTTCAATAATTCACCAACAGCTGTTGACAGTTCAAGATTAAAAACACAAATTATTTCCTAATTTTTTATCACTATAGGTATTTCATTAGTGCATAGACTAATATTTGCTTTGAATAAAATTGATTTATACTTTGTTCAGTGAAGTAAATAAATGTGGTCAATAAACATTGTCTAAAAAGGTTTTGTAAATGTGTTTGTTCTGATATCTGCATTCATTTAAACATGTTTTAGATTTTCCTAAAAACTTGTTATGCTGGGTTTAATTGAACATTTTGAATAAGTTTATCACCTTAATTATGAACTATTAAACTAGAAACTAAAACAATATATTAATAATCCTCAACCCAAACTGGAAAGAACAGACATATTTATTGGAAAAAAATTAAGAAGTCAGAAGCTTCATACCAATTTTAATGATTTTATGCCGTACTAATTTCAAATTTTACTGTGCAACAGAATGCTTGCTCAAATATTATTGTAGACTTTAAGATATGAACAAGTACAGTTGAGCAAGTTATCAATTTCGAGAGTGAAATTGGATCAGTAAAGTTTCGTGTAATCTTCAACTCTTACTAAAAGAATCTTCTGGTTTGCCTTAGAGAAATAATCTGTATCAATTATGAAATTATTTCTCTTCTATATCTTTAACATATAAGTTTTTGTTTTGAACGTACACATTAGTCTGTCTAATTAGATGATTGTTTATGATCTTTTTCTTCTTATTATGCTTATTTAATGATCAGATCAACAAAAATGTTTTTTGTTGTAGTATTTCCTTTTATTTTATGTATGTTAAAAAAAAATTCACTATCTCATAAGATAATTTTTTCTCACTTCACTTACCTGGTAAACTGATTCACTTACACTAAACATTCATGGCACCATTATTTTCGACCTCTTAATGCAAAATTATCATTCATAATTTTAAAATAACCCTGTTTTATAGAAATATTTATGGATTATTATTATTAAGGCAGACAACAGATACGTTTCCATTTCTTTTTATTTCTGTTCCATTTTACTTTACAACTTTAAAACAAAAAAAGTGAATTTTGTTTCCATCAGATGACAGTATGGAGAAACTGTATGGTGGAAGAATGTCAGAAGTTTACAAACAAACCATGAATTGGATTTGTTCAGATGATGAAAATCTTCAGATTGGTGGAGCACTGGCTGCAGGAAACTTTGCCAGAAAAGGTACAGTGTTTTTCCTGGGTTCTACAGTTTAAGGGATTTGTGTCAAATTTAAGGCACACAATGGATATTTTGAGGTACACCCTTAGTGTAATAGTTTTTTGTATTCATTAATAATGATAAACAGTTATGTTTAATTGGTTGGATAGGACTATATTAGCACTGTTTTACTAATTATAATTTGACAATGCATTTTAAGTTTCCAAGCAAAATCTTATGCAACTTGCATGGATGAGGCATGTTAGACATATGTAAAGTAGCTGGGCCTAGTTTAGAATGTCACAGATTGATGCATTCATATTAATGCTTTAAATAGGAGTTTAGACGTTGTTGTAAGTTATATAAGGGCAGTAATTTTGTATTTTATTACTTGTGAGTAATGTAAGTCATGCTACAAATGCTCTTATCCTTCATTTGTTTCTTTTATGCACAAACTTATAATAATGACTCATAAACAGCCATGCACCTGGCCTTGATCAGTATGGCTGATGCCTCAGTTGCTTGCCATGGAGATAAGGCTTGCTTACGTGATAGACAAATTTTTTAGTCATTTTGGATTTAGTAGAATTCCATGCTAGTGGCCCTCTGATTGGTAAAAAGTAAAACAAATGTAGTCATTATTATTTACATCATTATTTACATCTTACTGTAAAATTGGCAAGTGCACCACTGAGTGTGCAAGGAATAGGGGTTACACTTTAAAGAAAAGCAGGATACCGACATCTTGGAACACTGCTGAAACCCTGTTATGAATTGTAAATGTTAGACTTATTTGGAAAGCAAACCCCATAGTTTAGTTATTGCAAAAGTGTGTTAAGGTTAGCTCTCCTGTTATTTGCAGTATGTAAGTTGATGGGCAAATGAAATTACTGTAACTTCCAATGACAATCTAAAGTTCATATATCAGAGCCCTTAACACTGGACCTTTGAATTGATTTAGGTGGATTACTACTTAGTTTTATTGTATGTATAATTTCATTTTTTAACTTAGTTTCTTATTGTAAATTGTATTAATATAAATGTAAAGTAGAGTGCTGTAACCACAACTGTTCAAAATAACATTTGAGATATTGACAGTTTCTTGACTAGTATAAATAATAACTAATTCAAATCTAAACAGTAATTATATGACTATATTCCACACTCATTTAGTAGCACAGTATTATTTACTGAAAAACAGTGTCAGTGTATAATGCTATTGTATAATCAATTAATAATATTTTTTATTGCTGTTTTTTAGATGAACACTGTATTCAGATGGTTAAGGACCATGTTCCAAAAGACTTAATAGAACTCCTTAAGAAACACTGTGGAAAAGATGGAGATATAAGACTTCAACATGCTGTCCTCTCGGCTCTTAAAAATCTGGCAATTCCAAGTAAGTCAAGTTTCTGTAAATGTATAATATCCTATCTGTGTGCAAACCTTCAAGTAATGATGAACAACATGTATAATTTTTAGTTTCAGTTATCGATTTTGTAAAGATTATTTTATGTTTTTTCTAGCATTTCTTCAATCTGCTGATGAACTTATTCTATATCTTGTTTTACTGTAATAGAAGCATTTGTTTTAATTTTGTGTTTGTGTTTTACTCAGTTACTTAACGGTAATATCATAGTGACTGTATAATTATGTAGTAGTATTGTCATTAAGAGTTTAATTACTTTGTAGTATTGTTGAAGTTTCGATAGGTATGTATTATTGAAGTAGTATTATGTAGTAGTATTGTCATTAACAGTTTAATTACTTTGTAGTATTGTTGAAGTTTCGATAGGTATGTATTATTGAAGTAGTATTATGTAGTAGTATTGTCATTAACAGTTTAATTACTTTGTAGTATTGTTGAAGTTTCGATAGGTATGTATTATTGAAGTAGTATTATGTAGTAGTATTGTCATTAACAGTTTAATTACTTTGTAGTATTGTTGAAGTTTCGATAGGTATGTATTATTGAATATATCAATTTGATTATTTTTACTTTTTCTTTATTTAACTTATCATAAGCTGTAGGAAAAGATTTATGTATTGTTTATAAGAGAGTGTAGTGATTTGAAAATGACTGCTTTTATGTTGCATACAGAATTTTGATATATGCTTATTGAATGGAAGTTTTTGAAAATGAAGTAAGAGAGTTTAAGTTCTCTCTTTCATTTGAGATTTATATAAGGATCTTTGTGATTTATGACTATGTTTAAATAAGTAACCAGTTGTCAAATAAATCACTTGCATATAACTACAAGTTATCAGGAGCTTTTGAAGGTTACAATATTTCAATACAGTACTGGAAAGAGATGAGAGTAATTTTGCTTTAAAGATATTTAAGTATTTTCCAGTGAACTAATTCAAATTTTTATTTCAATAGTGGAGAACAAGGCAGTATTAGTAGAACTTGGTATTGTAGACCACTTACTGAAGATGGCTGAAGTGGAAACGTATCCTGTAGTCTTTAAACTGCTTGGAACTCTTCGAATGCTTGTGGATAAACAAGGTGAACTGTGGTTAAGTGGTTTAAGAAAAACCTAACATTTCAAAAAATATATCTAGAATTTAGTTTTGAATGTTTGTTTCTTATGGAAATTTGTGGAAACCTACAGAGGAAATGCCTGCATTAGCCATTCCTAATTTTGTACTGATAGATTGGTTAGAAGAGAGAGTGTTTTTGCAACAACTATACTGGAACTAAGAACCCTCATATTCACAGTCTGACGTGTTATCCACTAGGTCATACTTAACCAAGTTTTGAATGTTAAGGTTATTTGGTTCTGTATTTCTAATAGCAATTATAGAATATTTCTCATATATATATATATACATATATATATATATATATATGTATATGTATATGTCTTAATGAAATTTTGTGTTTTCAAAGCATTTATCAATGTATTTACTGTAAGTTAGTATACTCGTATCCATCATATGATGATTAACTTTGACTTAGTGACTTAAATCAAGGCTTTTTTCATGCACTGTGTTGTGAATATGGCAAATTGTTTGTGTGGCTTGTAAACACATTTATCCTATTAATAATGTCAAACAGATGGCCATTAAAAAGTGGAATAGTACTTTTGTAATATTAGTTTATGTTGGTTCTGTATTTGTTCATATTATTTATAATTTTTCATGTGGATGTTTCTTTGAATTCAGCAGTCCTCACTTAATGATTATTTGGGTTTAACTTGAATTGAAAAAACTTTAAATATGGTCTAGGCTATCTTCGAGTTTTATAACACATTAGAAATGTATTTAAATGTCTGTGTGTATCGCATGTTTCAAAAGTTTCAACCATACCAATGTGTACATGTAAAATACAGTGTACACAGTTGTATAGTGTGTTGTGATGACATCACTATCAATCTGCATGGTACTAATGGAAATAAATTCAATCTTCCAAAATCATATTTAAGCAATTTTGAACAATTTACTGCAATGTATAAATCTTCCACATGTTAAATCGTATACACTACAATATGCCCATCCAATTTCTGCAATCAGAACAGTGGAAGTGCTTTTTATATATATCACATAAGAGTTTTTTTGTTTTTTTTTCAATTTCAGTAGATATTGACACTTATTTGTTGGATGGAGTTTTCACTTTTTGCCCATCTCAGGCATGATGAGTTGATCATAGTTTGAGATGCAGTGATGTAGCTAGTTGATTGTTCAGTATAGGTTGTAGGTTACGAATTAGGAGTGCTTCCTTTTTTCTTAGCGTCCATTCATCTGTCATTGAGTCTATTATTCTGAAGTGTTCACTGTTCAGTTTTTGTTACAGTCTTTGCTTAGATGGTTGTAAATTCCAGAGTTATTGAAAGGGCTGTTATGCGCATGCTCCTTGATTCTGGTAGCTAAGGTACAAGTCGTCGATCTGATATAGACTTGCCTGCAGCAAAGACACAAATATCTGTATACTACGAGTGTGTTTTTTGTAGGAGGTATTTTGTCTTTTTGTTCAAAGACAAAATACCTTCTTTAAGAAAATTGCTGGTAGTATACAAATATTTATTGGTTAGTTTACCAATTATTAACATAAGCAGTTTTTGTGGTTTTCTCAGTTCACACGTGTTACTAAAAAAAAAAGGACCATTTTTTTTTGTTAAAATTCACTTAATATAATATTAATTATACTTCAATGATATGTTAGGAAGCTAAATGGAGACTGAACTCTCTAAAAAAAAAAGTAGAATGTGGCTTTCCCTTAATAATTATTTCTAAAATACAAAAATCACTTGTTTCCTCCTTTGTGTAATATAAGTAAAAGCTGCTTCAGACCACCTAGATTTATGGTCAGGAGTCTTTGTTATATTTTTGTGAACTGACAGTAAATTTTTATTATAATATTTTTCGTAGAGAATGTGGCCAACAGACTTGGAGTGGATTCTACTTTTATTCAGCAGCTTGTGAAATGGGGTTACACTGAAGACCACCCTGGAGTGAAAGGTGATTTAGCATGTTGGATTATAATTTTGGATGAATGAGGAAATATTCATTAGCTGATGAGTGTTATTTTGATGGTCGGGGTATTAGGTTGAACAGCTCACATTTTATTTACTAAACTTATATCATTGTTCATATGTAGTACAAATAGAACTTGTAAACGATGTTCAATATAGAGTGATTAATACCAAAAATAACATGATTTTCTGTTACCCACATTCGTTTACAGTGGTTTCCACGGAAATGTTCAAGCGTGTCTTGGCCTCACAGCTGTTATCATTTAATGGTGCAGGTGTAATTATATTATGATATAATATAATGTGTTTTAATATTATAACTAGCATATAGCTCATCAAAAATGACGGAGCAAGTACTACCACCTCCACCCCACAGTATACCTTAACCTCAAAATTCATAGCTAACTGAAATTATTAAATTTTTTGAAATCAAGCTTGACCAACAAAGAGGCAGAAAAGTGTAGTTGAGGCAGTCATACATTGGTAAATTCCTTTGTGAGCCAATCATAATTAAAATCATTCATGAAATGAATTCATGGCATACTCTTAGAATAATTATTGGTAAAAATCAGTTAGATTAACAACTTGTAATATATAGAAAAGCCTAGTGCGTTTTGGTAACGCTACATTCCAACAATGGCTTTTATGTCATGCTGCTTAGCAACAAAAGTATAACCTAATATTGTTGTTAGTCTATGTATTGAAAGTATAAAATGAAATGTATAGACAACAAAACTGGAAAATATATGTTGATTTCTTAATTTAGAGTCTCCGCTGATTAAAGAGGTTTATTTTTTATTAAAAACGTTGGTGATATAACAGAAAATAGCTTAATTC